CGTCCAATTTAATCCAATCACTCTCAATTTTTTTATTCTTTTATTAATATAATCGAAAACCAATTTTAAAGGTATTAACCATTATTTAACAATAACTCTATGACTAGCCTTAAGTTTTTCTCAAAAAAGGTTGGATTAGATAACATAATTGCCCTATCCACTAAACTAAAAATAGTTCCTACTTTATGACAATTGGGATGATTAGAATAAAAAAACAGATATCTACCTGAAAATGTTTTTTTTATGGAACCAATCTATAGATATTCTATTTTCAATATTAATTATTAATATGTCAAGAAAGTTTAAAGAATGGCTTTTTTCTTGTTCAACTGTAAACTTCAATCTATCATGTTGGCTATTAAAAGAATCAACAATGTAAGTGATCTTATCCTTTGGAGCAATCATGAAATGATTCATATTAAGGGACAGACAAATGGTATAAATCTAACGAAGGATACTGAGCTATTGGACAAATCTTATTTTGACATTATTGAAGACTTACACGAATGATGAAAAAAACATTTTAGAACATACTTGTTTACTTTGTTTATGTATCGACATAGAGTCCGACTTTCTTTATTAGTTTTATTTGGAACATCTGACAAATAAGATTACTTTATTGTAACAATGATAAATTTGAGATTTCTAAATTAAATAATTGTTCTATGTAAATTACCGTAAGTAGAATATTATTAAATAGTCTTTCTAATAAGCTGAATTAAGTCTGTTTGTAAATTGTTATATATATTGATATAGAATGATTGTGTGGAGATCTTGGATTTGGATATTTAAATTGACGAAATAATGATTGGATTGATTGTTGAAATGTACCCCCCCTCCCGGTTGAATTAGTCAAAACCAATCTTACATGAAAATCATTGACATTTGGTGCTGTGGAATGCAGGGATGGAAAAGTTACTTTTAAAGTTACCTGGTCAAAAACAATCTTACATGAAAATCTTGGACATTTGGTGCTGTGGAATGGACATCTGAATTAATTTTATAAGTAAAGCGATATTTGCAGATAACGTTATATAATAGGAGGAATTGCGAATTGTTTATTGTTAAATCACTGATGAAGACTTGGTAAGTCGAAACGTCTGAGTTGTTTAAAAGTATACATGTGAGAAAATATATGTGATTAATTTATTGTACTTAATTTCTAAATAAAAAGTAACTTAAAAGTAACTTTAAAAGTAACTTTCCATCCCTGGTGGAATGGACATCTGAATTAATTACTTATTTCGAGAAGCGAAAATGTTTACACTAGTTTAGATTAGGAGCGAATTAATTTTATAAGTAAAGCGATATTTGCAGATAACGTTATATGATAGGAGGAATTGCGAATTGTTTATTGTTAAATTCACATCATGAAGACTTGGTAAGTCGAAACGTCTGAGTTGTTTAAAAGTATACATGTGAAAATATATGTGATTATTATCGGTCAACTGATATTGTTCGTTATTTAAACCTTAAAATAGTTATTTATTAATTAATATTTTGTTAAATATTGCGAAAATTGTAAAATAGTACAAAACTTTTTAACTCAATTTAATCCACTCTAACCCTATGCGACAGCTTTATCATTACTTATTAAACATCCTGTATATATATAATCTGAACTTGAATATATTTTGCTTTGCTACAATTTTGCTATAATTTTGATAGTTTTGATGGATAGTCTAGAAGGATAATTTTTAATTCAATTAATTTCATTATACATTAACTTGTATCTTAACTAAGTTAAATTTTTAAGGTTATTAACTTTAACTTAACTTAGTTAAAAAAAAAAGTAACTTACCCAACCCTGGTGATTATTATCGGTCAACTGATATTGCTCGTTATTTAAACCTTAAAATTGTTATTTATTAATTAATATTTTGTTAAATATTGTAAAAATTGTAAAATAGTACAAGACTTTTTAACTCAATTTAACCCACTCTAACCCTATGCGACAGCTTTATCATTACTTATTAAACACCCTGTATATATATAATCTGAACTTGAATATATTTTGCTTTGCTACTATAATTTTGATAGTTTTGATGGATAGTCTAGAAGGCTAACCCTAAAATTATTATTTTCTATAATTAATTATTAGAGGAAGGTCACCGATACCAATATACCGCTTCATTTTTATACAATATTTCTTAAACAAAAAATAAAAATACAACTTCAAAAACATATAAATACAAAGTAAAAAGTGTCTTCTATCAGATAGTATAAGCAATTTTTATAATAATGTGTGCAATTTTGCAATAATTAAGTTTTTCGTAAGTTACGCAAAAATGAGCGTCTGACAAAATGGGCTCCAAAACTGACATAGTAGGCAATAATACCAACATTCCTATTCTATAAGTAAATATATATCATATTCTATAAAAAAAACTAATTTATGAAACTATAAACATTTAAAATAATATAATATTATCAATAATACACACAGTCACTATTATTTTAATTGCGCTATTTGCAAAAGAACACCGTAAGAATTTTCTTCTCAGATTCATAGTATTGGTTTTTAGCTGATTTGGTATAGAAATAAGCCATAAATATATGAATTATAAGTTTGTACTTCTTTAATTAGCTAAACAGATCATGATTTTATTAGTTTTAATAAAGTGCAATAGTTAGTTTCTGAGAAATAAGGGGGTGTCACTTTAGGAGACCTATGCCAGTATCGGCGACTTTCCTCTATATGTTATAATTAAAATATGAGTATTCAGAAAAAAATGTTTCTACAAAAATCACGAAAATAAGTGAAAGTGTATATAATGTAATAGAGAAAAACTAATCAGCTTTAGATTGAAAATTATCGCAAGAATATTCCTCTGATTCAAAATTTACATTTTATGAATGCTTAAAGCCATTTAATATTATCAAAAGCTTACATAGATTATCATTATAAATTTTATTTAAACGATTTTTAAATCTACATGTAAAGAAATATTTCATGTAACTGCGAATCGTGCGTAAAATGTATGCTTTCATTATTTTAAAAGAAGTTTGCTAAAGCGGCAGAAGTTAATTTAATGCTAAAATGTTCTTACATAATCCATAAGAAATCCAAATGATGATAATAACGTTGACATCATGGTTATATAATATTAACATTGATGATTATACTACAATGCAATTATGCAGAACTATTATTTTGAGTCATATATCCGCGCTATAATTAATTAGCATTATAGTTGGAGAAATTACGAAAAATGTATTATCGTGCATATATATCATGTCATATATACAGATGATAAATATTTTAGTTAATATCATTCTAACAATAATATAATCGGCTATTTCCATCATAGAATCCGTGTCGACTGAAACTGAGCTAAATTACTGACTTTATGTTCCTTATCACGTGTTTATAACTTTCACAAATTTAATATTTAATAATGTTTTGCATATGTGACGCTTGTGAGAAAGGTATTTGCGGAAACATCGCTACATGCTCAGTGTTACTTCGTTAGAATTATAAAGCGCAACCTCATTTAGAATATACGTAAATATTTACTGGACTTACAGTTAATTGTATACGATGTTCAAACAATCGTAATTAATTTGGATTCAGAGCCATTGAAAATACAGTTATTAGTAAAATAAAACGGACGCTTCTTAAATTATCAATTTATGATGATATATGCGTGAAACGTTTTAGTAATAAGACTTAAAGTATACAAATTAAAAAATCTTTATATACAAATGTCTTGCAAAAAAAATCCTAAAGAATTGAACTGAAAGTTTCTTAAAGCAAATACTTATAAATCATGAAATACAAGGCAACATAGAAAAATTGACAAGACATAATGAAGAGAAGAAGTAGATATTAACTTAGAATTCAAAAATTAAAGAAAAGGATAGTGATTACAAAAATGTCTTCGATTAAGAATTCAATTTTCACGAATGTCAATAAAACTTCTAATTTCTTTGGAAATATAAACAAAGAAAATTCTTTTGCAGAAAAAAATAATGAACAGAAAGTGAACAAAATAAAATCAGAGCTCCATCAAGATTTATTTTGGACGTTCAGAATATTGATAATGTTCTTCAAGCTTATCGGTCTCGCTACATTCGACCATCGAATTGTCATATACAAAATGAGAACGTCATACACATTTCAATTTTCCAAATTAGGAATTGTTTACAATGTTGTGCTGAGTAGCTTAATGATAGCTTCGAACTATATGTCTATACCATTCACACTTAATTCGGACTATGAGAACAAGACGAATTTGACTGTAGGCATCGAGGTTGTTCAAACTGTACTTGGTGCCCTAGTGATCTGCGCGATTTTGATTAGCTACTGCATCGACCAGAAGTCCTTGGTGCGGATTGCCCATCGATTAATCATCATCGAGCACGAGATAGGTCGTCTGTATATGCGCGATTTTGATTAGCTACTGCATCGACCAGAAGTCCTTGGTGCGGATTGCCCATCGATTAATTATCATCGAGCACGAGATAGGTCGTCTGTATGATCTATATCATCCGCTACGACGACAGCGTATCTTCTGCATTACGATCATCGTTTGCATCTTGAAGATTTGCCTGCTGATACTTCTCTTGTTCACTGAAATTCTGGCCTTCCGTGCGGGCCCAGTCTCATGGCTGACAGACGTTTTGCCGACATTTCTTGTGGGTTGGCTACTGATACAGTACTTCCTGTTGGTGACGGTCATTCAGACAGATTTCGCTGATGTGAATCGAGCGATACAAAGCCTCACCAGAGTCAACACACCTGATCTTCGACTGCAGCCTCTCTATCAAACGCGTCGTATCGAAGTCAACAATTCGACTGTTTATCAACTGTTGCAACTGCAAAATGTACATTATCATCTCTGTGAAATCTCTGAGGATGTGTCGAGTTTCTATTCACTACCAGTACTATTCGGAATCGTTTTTCTCTTTCTGACACTCATATATAATAGTTACTATCTTCTCTCGTCTCTGTTGAAGACTAATGATACCTTAGGATATAAGACTCTCAGTAATACCATCGTCTGGATAATATTTCTGATTTATCCCATTTCTCTCCTCACCAATAGAATTACCAGGATTTTAATCGAGGTAGGATAATCAACATAATAAGATTTTAATCGGATCGTTTTAGTCGGTAAAACAAAATATTTTTATCAGTAAATAAAATTCCAAATATTTTACGAAATTAATTACAAATTTATTGTAGATGAGGAAAACGGGTAATATAGTTCATGATCTTTTAAACTGTGCATTCGAGAATGAGACAAAAGCTGAGGTAAAAAACAAAGTTAGATAAAACTTCCTCAGAAGCGGTATTCATCGTAACGACATTTATCATAGATATGTTACAGCTCAAGAAATTTTCGCTTCAATTGCTAGATCGCAAAGTACAGTTTACAGCTAACGGATACTTCACGCTCGATAATACTTTTCTTCATTCGGTGAGAATATTTAAAATATCATGTAAGTAATTTAATAAATTAAATTTTTTTAATTTATAATTTTTACTATCTTTTTCAGCTGGTTGGCACTGTAGTGACATATTTGGTAATACTTATGCAGTTTCAAATGGCTCGCGTTCATCGATTAGACAGCAATGTAACTATACAGGGAGATATTTAAAATAAGAAGCAGAATAATAAATTAATTATAAGGGAGAATGTATAATGAGAGATATCTTTTAAATATAATGAAAAATATCTTAGATGTCTTTTAAATTGAGATGTGAGAACCAATTAAATGCAATTAAATACGCAGAATTGCAATTCTGAAACTTTTTATTTTAACTTCCTTATAATACAATCAGTTCTGATGTGTAAAACTAGAAACCAAAGATGTAAATATATATATTATATTTAAATTAATATTATTAAACTATAATCGTAATAAAGCTCAGAAAATTAGAAAGACGAAAAGGAAAGTGCTACAAGCCAAAGGTTTATCGTTATAAATTGAAAATTGCAACGTGAGTAAATAAACCTATCATTTAGTTAAAATATAGACTTTAATTTGCCGGCAATGACAAACAAAACAAAAAACAAACATTTTGATCCCTATTGGTTCATTATCAATGTTAAGATCAGTAACGGTGAAATTATTACAAAAAGAAATTATGAAGAAATATATAAAAATTATACTTCGCTCTCTCTCGCAGTATTAATGTCAATAATAATTTCGGTCAGTTTGCAATAAATATTATAATTAGAATGTTGGTATTAGTAACATTGTGTTCTTCTGGTTATGAATATAGAATATAGACGCATAATTATTAATTCTGTTAAAAAGTACAAATATAACGTAGAGATAAGTAATAGAAATAAGTAATAATTATAATAAGAAATATACACTAAGAACAGGTAATAAAAATAAGTAAGAAATATAATGTAATAAAATATACCCTAAGAAACATTAAGAAGAAACAAAGTTGTGAGATGCACAATCAAACATTATATTTCTTCAAAATAATTTAGTAGCAGCTAAATTAAATTAGAATAAATACCTTATAAATGTGTATCGCAATATATGTATAATTATAAATTCGTCTATTCTTAGACAATGCAATTAGGGTAAAAATAGAGTCATATCTCTTCGATTTTCAGAGACAATATAAAATCGACATTCAAAGCAAGAAAGTTGATGTGGTAAAATAGAAGAAAAGGAGAACATAAGAAGGGGGAAAAATAGAGGGAAGAAGGAGTGGGGAGGGGGAAGTAAAAAGAAAATGAAAGAAGTTAAGAAGGAGAGGGAGATTGTATAATTTGTAAGTAAGATTCTGTCAACGATTCAGCCTCATTTTGTTCATTAAAACCTTGTTTTTGTCTTTTAATATGAATCATTTCAGACACCAATCTTTTGTTGTACGAAGATTCGCTCTGTCCAAAATTTTCACTTCGTTCCATCTGAAATTGTGGTCAAAATTGATACGATGATCGGTTATGACAATAGGAGTACCAGTCTTTTTTTTAATATCGGAGATATGTTCGTGTAATCTCGTACTCAATTTTCTTTCAGTCTGACCAACTTAGCTAGCTTCACAATCGTCACAAGAAATCTTATATACTACGTTCTGATTAGATAGTAGCTTTAAGTTAAAGCCTCTAACCTGTCTTTTCCTCTCCTAATAAAACTTTTTAATGTGTTAGGGATAGAAAAGGCTAATTTACAATGAAACATACTGGAAATAGGAAGGAAACTTTCGGAAATAGATTTGATGTCAGGAATTGTGAAATATTTATCTTTAACATGTACATTACGTGTATTCTGTTTATTATGTATATGGAATTTTAATCTTTGTTCAATTATAGAGAAGATAAAAAAGAGAGAAGATAACCTCGCATAGCAATGTATTGCCTTAGGATATACTAATTTTATCAGATTGATCCCGTTCTGATCCAAAATATTAAATCGTCCATATGATTACCTTAGGATATTTGTAATTATCATTGTACTAGTATAAAACGTCCCTAGGATATTATATTTTGATCCGATAAAATTTTGATCACTTCTATTGATAAATTGCATTTTTCAACTTTCGACACATATATGTTATATAAATTTATGTATTTTACATATATTACAGAGACATATCTTTGTAATTTAATTGTTAATGTTTTAATAATGTTTACATAAATATCCCACACAGCATACTGAAAACTGACCTTTGTTTCAGGAAGAATTTAATCATATTTATCTTTATATATTGTTAATTTGACAGTTGCAGCTATAGCTTATTTTGTTTTTTGTTGTACATTATTTATTTTTAAATAGATATATGAGTTATTTATTAATTGACAAAGCGAAAGGAGTTTTGGTATATTTTACACAATCGGTTCTATCGATTGTAAGTACTGTGTTAATGAAAATTTTCCATTTTATTAATTAAACTAACTAATGAATAAAAAAAACTCTATTAAAAAAAAGTACTTTCAGAGGCTTTAAAGGTATAATGCCATCCGTTATAAGCAATCTTCGATATGTTGACTCGTCAATAAATCGATCGTGCTTTCATCTTACAAGTAATCTTATACGTAAGTCCTGAGTTAATTTTTTTATTGGATCTTTATCCAAAATTACGTAAGTATTAGTATCTGAAAGAATCTCCTTCATTTCAGATACGTAGATGTTTTTGTCAAGAACAACAGTGACATTTCTCTTATCAGCGTTTGTGATGAGTATATTTGGATGGTCATTAATAAATTTCTTTGTTACGCTTAACCATTCTAAAATATGATTCTCAGTAAAATTTGGAGAAGAAAAATTATTGTGGAATCTGTTGAGTATTGAAATAGAATTATTCCTGACAAAGTTAATAATGTTTTAAGGACGACCAATTATATTGTTTTCTATGCGTTTAATAAATTCAATTAAGATTTTTTCTTTGTTATCTCTATTGATAGGAAGCCCAAATTTTTCACCAAGTTGTAACATCCCGAAATTTTAATCTTACATTACATCTACAAGATCCACCAAATTAGAAGGATCAATGTAGGTTTTCAAGATCGATATTACGATAGACTGTTGTCCTCCTTTGATACCATGAATGATTACTTATTTCCATTTTCTCTATGTCGAGAATCAAAGGAGGACTTTGTTAGAACCTCCAAAAGGACTGTAAGTGCTACGGATTTTTAAAAATTGCAGGCTCCATTGAGAGAAAGTTTTGTAAAATAACTATTATTTTGTTGATATGTGAATTACAAAAACTTTTTTATTTTTTAATTTAAAATTTGTGCTGTTCTAAGCAAAATTTAATTAGAATACGCACATTTAATCTGCTTAAAACAATTTTTAAATTAAAATATAAGAAAGCCTTTTTTGTAATAATTCACATGTTAATAAAATAGTGATTATTCATACAAAATATTTGATAACATCAAATTATACATTTACATATACAATTTTCTTTTACTGTACATGATGGATCGTTTATGTGTGGATTAATTTTCATAATATTTGCAAATATACAAAAATCATGAACAGATTCTTATATATATTTTAACATCTTTAAAAAATATTTATAAAATTGTATATTTAAAAAGAAAAAAAGGATAGAAAGATTTATTTAACCTGCAGGTGCAGTATTTCGAAGAAAAGAAATAAGATATGAATGACTCATCGTGAATACTCTAAGGGTAAAATTATATTATAATAAAAAAATAGTATTGTTTGTAATCTGCATTATATACTTATATTTAATTTGTGAGATATAACACAGAAAAAAATTTATTTTAAGAAATTAAATATACTGTAAAGATTGTATCATATAATCTTTTTTTCCACAAGGATATTTATTGGCGTAAAATATCACGCGATCTCATCATCACATGCAATACATAGAGTTAGTCCATACGTGTGAACTGCGAATACGATGAAAAAAAAGCGTCGTGATTGTGTGATTTAGATAGCCAATCAGACCGTTAATATTTCATCTCTGTTTTCTAGAGCTATTGTCACGACTAACCTTTTGCATAGTTACAAATAAAGTAGTGGTAAAAGTAACTAGTGAAGTCGTTACCGTTACCCTAAAAATGTAATTGCGTTACCATAAATGTTACTCAGAAGAAAATGTATCGTCGTTATCTATTCGTTACCGAAAAAAGTAACTTGTAACGGTAACGATGTTACAAATAACGCGTAACTTACCAACCCTAATTATAATAAATGTTGAGCTATCAAATGTATGTGGTATACAAGAGCCTTTGAATGATTCGCTATATTCAAATAGGCTTATATTATTAAATTTTCAGGCCTTTAATATATTTGAGCTATTCCTTCTGCAGGCGGGAAGGTAACCAAAAATAACAATAGTCTACTATGATTATCTAGCATTACAGTTGAAGAAATTACAAAGAACTATTATTATCGGGTGTATATCATGTCATATATACAGTCGATATCATTCTAATAATAATACTGTAAAAATCGGCTATTTCCATCGCCGTATTCGTGTCGACTGAAACAGAGCTAAATTACTGACTTTACGTTCCTTATCACGCGTTTATAACTTTCACAAATTTAATATTTAATAATGTTTTGCATATGTGATGCTTCCGAGAAAGGTATTTGCGGAAGCATCGCTACATGCTCAG